TCATCATTACCATCATTAATATTTATCCATGTATCCAACATCTATCAATCTGACAATCTATCATCTACTAACATAATTAATCTACCTACCTAATCATCTAGAAATTGCGAACCATCTTACTTCCTCTGCTCCACCCGATTGTGGGACTGGCGATCACGATTCCTCCTTCCACTCACCCACCCACCCCTCCATTCGATCCAACCGGCCTCCCGTTGCCGCGTCGCAAAGGCTATTCCAGGCGGAGCCCGCGGCCGTCTCCCCACCGTTGGGCATCCTTCCTGCTGGGAAGGAAGACGAGCGAGGCGGGCGTCTTTTTCCCTTTTTCGTCCGGACCGACGATGCAGAGGCGGTTTCGCGCGCCGCTCTGTGCCTTATTCCTGCTGCTTTTGCTGTTGAGCGAGACCCCACCCAAAGCCCTGTCCTCCGTGATCCCTACAACCGGTAAGGCCGCCTCTCCACCTCAGAGCTCGAGGCGCCTCACGAGCGGCAGCCGTCGAAGAAGCGAGGAGGCCCAACCGCTCACGCCCTCAAGCCGCGAAGGGCACGTGCGCCTTCCCCCAGAACTACAACTCCCGACAACCTCTCCTTACAAGAGCGCCTCGCGGTCGGCGTCCAAATCTCACTCTAGGTGGAACTCCGGAAGTGGGGATTGGAAATCCCGCCCAGCTTTTGAAAAGGTGGAGCGGGAAGTTTCTTCGTCTTCGAAAGTAGCTGATCATTGCAAACGTCCATAACGGCCGTCCTGGGCAGGGTGGCAGTGGGTGCCCTGGAGATTTGCTCAGAAATCCCGATCAAGAAGAACTAGAGCAGAAAGAAATAAAAGCTCTGGCAGATATGAAGGGATGTTTGCAGGTATATAGATAGGAATATGTGGGCGGGGAGTCTAAATAGAAAAAAGGCATCTGAAATAAGGATGCGGAGGTGGAGGTGTATTTCAAGCTGCCTGTATTTTGAACACATCAATCAGAATAGAGACGGAAGGGACCTTTTGAGGTCTTCTAGTCCAACCTAATCTCAAGCAGGAGATCCTACCATTTCAGACAGGTGGCTGCCCAAACTCTTAAAAATCTCGAGTGATGGAGCACCCACAATTTCTGATGGCAAACTGTACCACTGCTTAATTGATCTCACTGTTAGAAAGTTTCTCCTTAATTCCAGGTTGCTTCTCTCGATTAGTTTCCATCCATTGTTTCTTGTCCTGTCCTCCAGTGCTTTGGAAAATAATTTTACTCCCTCTTCTTTGGTAGCCCCTCAAATACTGGAATACTGCTATCAAGTTACCCCTCAACATCAGAACATCATCAACAACAACAGATGTGCTTCTGGTTTAAAATAAAAGACTGCCTGTACCCATAGTACACAACCATCATCTACTTAATCGTCTTAGTGCCTATTTTAAACATGCTGGTAAAGGAGTTTGTGTGTGTGTGTGTGTGTGTGTGTGAATCCTTAAAACGTGCTGTTAGAAAACTTTTTTGCCTCCTAGATTGCGGAACCAGGCCAGTTGTGGATGACATAGTAACAGAGACACGAATTGTTGGTGGACTTGATGCTCAGCTTGGTGGATGGCCATGGCAAGTTAGCCTTGAGGTTTATCATTTCGGTAAAGGATTTGTTCATGTATGTGGTGGATCGTTAATTAATCACAACTCAGTGTTGACAGCTGCACACTGCATTAAAGAATGGACGTATGTATTCTCTTCCGTTTTAAAACTACTCTTATCAGTATAGAAGGGAAAAAAACTTGATTAGCCTGCAGTATTGGCTGAATTTAGAAATATGTTTTCGAATCGATCTTGACCTCCTGAACTTGTAACAAAATATTAGTGTTACTAAAATATATGTTGCCGACATTAACTTTTATTATCCCAAACCAGTTTAAAATGAGATTAGGTAAGAAATAGCTCTGCAGAGCACTACATTAAAATGCTCAGCTAAATGGGCAGCTTTTGCTTATGTGATTTTTAGTTAATTCTATAATACAATAGGTATGAACAAAAGCTATATCAATGCATGATAGTAAAACTACAGCTAAGTAAAGTAAAAATATGGGTAGGGAAAGATAAAACAGCCTTCGAAAATATTACTGAAAGAAATATAGTCTAGATTAGAGGAAGCTGAAGCTAGATAAGCTGCAAACTGATGTTAATGATAGAGCTGTAAGGAACCTTGGAGGTCCCCTGCTCAAGTTGAAGAGCAAGCAAGAAAGTAGCTTGAAGGAATAAAAAAAAATATGTGAGAGAGTATCCAGAACCAAAAGTAAGAGATCTCTGAAGCAAACTACCTGAGATGGGAGGACTAGAATAAACTGGACCTAAGAAAAAAAGGAAATTAGTCTGATCTAGATAGCAATTGAAAGGGAAGCTTGAGACGAGCATATTTTTATTTATTTTTTCCCCACCTTTATTATTTTTATAAGCAACTCAATATATATAATATAGTTCTCAACTTGCGACCACAATTGAGCTCAAAATTTCTGTTGTTCAGTGAGACATTTAAGTGAGTTTTGCCCCATTTGCAACCTTTCTTGCCTCATTTGTTAAGTGAATCACTGCAACTGTTAAATTGGTAACATGGATGTCAAATGAATCTGGCTTCCCCATTGACCTTGCTTGTCAGAAGGTCACAAAAGGGGATTATATGACCTGGGGACACAGCAACGGTCATAAATATGAACCAGTTGACAAGTGTCTGGATTTTGATCATGCGATCTTGGGGATGCTGCAAAGGTCGTAACTGAAAAACGGTTGCAAGTTGCATTTTTAGTGCTATTGTAACTTTGAACAGTCACTAAATGAACTGTTGTAAGTCAAGGACTACCTGTACTCCATCCTCTTCCAATTTTCCCCACAACAATCCTGTGAGGTGAGTTGGGCCGACAGTGCGTGACTGACCCAAAATCACTCAACCAGCTTTCATGCCTGAAGTAAAATTATAACTGCTTAATCAGTTACATTTAGCTGACATTCTATTTTGGAGCTTCAGATGAATCTTAAATTAGGTTTCATTTTTGTGAATTGTAAGTTTTATGTCAGATTTTTATTTACAAATGAATGTGTCTAAACAAAAACCTGTTTGTTTGTTTTTTTGCCAAAGTGGAGAAATAATCTCTTCATTCATGGCTAATGGGTTAGAGCACGGGTGTCAAACTTGTGACATCATGTTACGTATTGCGATATTTTTTGCCTTTTTGGAGCTGGGGTGGGTGTGGCCTGCACATGATGCACCCAGCCTGCAGGCTGCCAGTTTGACACCTTGGGAGATTGTGGCCTTTGTACTTGAGTACTAAATTCTTTTCTAATACAATAGTAAACATATTTACTCCCCTCAGAATTTCTATTTCCAAATATTTTTATGAGCTCTGAAGAACAAGAATATATGAAATGAGACTTTGGCTAGGGTTCCAGAAACTTTTATTGTACTCCTTGGGATTTTTAATACTGAATGTAACAAACATCAGACTCCTTATGTAATTTTCCCCAGTTTCAAAAGGAGCCCATAAAGTCAATTTATTTAGCATATGGCATATCATAAATGGACTAGCAAAATAAATTAACATTTCAACTAGACTAGTAGAACCCAATAAAATATAAATGTTAAAAAGCATAAAGTTTGGTTTAGTTTACTTTATTGTCATTGCACCTCGTATAACGAAATCAAACATATTCAGCACACATCATGACCATGAAAATAAAAACAAACACACATCCTTCACACTCCACACATTGAACTGAAAACCTCTGACACTGCACCAACACTGCACCATACAGTAGAATTCAAAAGAGCTACTGCCCTGTGATAGAAGCTGTTTTTCAACCTATTTGTTTTTATTATTCTGTATCGTCTGCCAGATGGTAATAGTTCAAAAAAAGGGTTCCCAGGATGAGATGGATCTTTGAGAATGTTTTGAACTTTCTTAAGGCAGCGGGAGCTTTAAAGCTGTTCCAAAGAGGGGAGAGGGCAACCAATGATCTTCTGGGCAATGACGTTAACCCTCTGGAGTGCTGTCCTATCTGCCCCTGTGCAATTGGCAAACCCTACAGAGGTGCAGTAAGTTAAGATACTCTCTATGGTGCAGCGGTAGAAGGTCACCAGCAGTTTTTCATTCAGTTGTTTTCTGAGAAGTCTCAGGTCCAAAGCCCAAAATAATTGTTGTTTCAGGTTCATAGGTTTAAAGTGTTGATTTTTTGGGATGCTGGCTTTAGTACTTGCATATATGCTAGGTATGAGTCAGTGGCTAATCTTTCATGTGGTTTTTCTATCTTAATTTAATCCCAGCTCCATTTAATAATGAATAGGCAATAAGTGGCAATCGATGTTCTAAATGTAGGCGAAGGCAGAACCTGGGGGCAGAGTCAAGAGAGGAATCAGCCTAGGATCTCTACATAGCCACAAATGGTCTAAATCCCTCTCCCCTTGAATTCCATGGACTCTTAACACACACAACTTTCAAATATATTCCATATGATACAGCATGGCAGATGTAGACATCTAAAGTTTTTTTTTTTTAAGGAAAAAGAATTTGACCAAGAAATCAAAAGAAGAAATATATGAAAATTTATAAATATTACCGGTATATATCACTCAGAGCAAAGAGGAAATTAGAAGCTACATATTTACCTATAATGTTTTAATTCTGTTCTTGTTTATCTTTTTGATACCCTTAAATGTCAAAATAGTGGAGACTTCAACATGAAGTTCAGATGTTTAAAAACCTCTAAAATCTGTTTTAAATTGTAAAAATAATGTGTTCTGTTTTTTATGATTAACATTCCATCAATGACATACTGTTTGCCCTCAATAACAACTTTGTCCACTTATTGATACTATATCTGTGCATTAATTATTTTCCCCTTTGCTTGTTCATTTTCTCATTATCTAAAAAGGATTAACTTTTTTTTAAAAAAGGTAAGAAAAAGTGTGCAAGTTCAGGGTGTAGGAAGCTACAATTCTACAGTCAGCTCTCATTGATTTCTACAGAGGGCTTTATTCTGTTCTAGGTTCCCTTCGTTTTGGAGAGCTGTGGTTGGATTGCATCATATTACTAGACTCCACATCCATACCAGAAGGAGCCGGATCAGGGCTATCATTATGCACCCCGGTTTTAACAAGATTACCTACGAGAATGACATTGTTTTGTTCAAACTGATAGAGTCTATCCAATTCAATCAGTATATCCAGCCCATCTGTATACCTGATGTTCCTGTTGCTCTAAATGATGAGATGCCATGTTTTATAACTGGATGGGGACGGACAACAGAAAAAGGTGAATTTTTATTTCCCCCTTTCCATTGGTCTGTTAAAAATGAGAAAGTTGGATTGAAACCCGAATGTTCCTTTTTGGTGCTGGATGGAAATTATCCAGGAATGAGATACCACTCCCCTTTGATTTAAAGACAAATTAGACATTCTTAGGATGAGTGGTCTGCTTCAGTCAGAATGCAGTTGAAACCATTAATTGGTGGGTGATATTTGCACAACATATGTCTTATTCCTAGCCGGGAATGCCCAGATGTTTGGCTGATCTGTTCCACATGCCTCATATTCCCAATGAACTGAGACACAAACTAGAGAAATCCAGAAGGTTCTTGTAGGTTAAATAGGGTAAGACTGGTGCACTGTGCCCCTCTCTCCTTCTGCTATGCATTGCCATGGGCCCAGCTCTCCCATCATTTTCTTGTCCATCTTTGAAGTAGACTAAGTCCAGAAACAGGCCAGCAGGGAGGAATACTTTTTATTGTAATGAAGCAGAACAGCAGAATATTGAAAGCCTGTCAAAGTTCCTTTCTGCCCCATCTTAAATTGGACAACATAAGGTGGGATTATTTGTAGTTTTCTCTTCACGCTTCCCTCTTTCTTAGGACTGTGCAATTCCCCCACCCACCCACCCAACAGCAAATTCTCCTTGGTGGCTCATTCCTTCCTTCCCGATGCACAAGGTCAGCTCTACTCTCCATCACACCTCCTTCCCATGACTTTTCTTTACCTGTGTGCTGCTGTTCCACTATGCTTTAATTCAACACAGCATGCCAAACATATTTCTGCTGTTCCTCCAGATCTCACACCTTCCTGAACCATACATCACTGTCAACTTGTTAAATGTATTCAAATGACCTGCTTACTCTTCTCTCCATCTTCCTATGCCTTCCTCTCCTATACCTTCCTTTAGCCTCCATCAGTGGTGACCTTACCTCTTTCCACATTCTCCTGATTCTGTGGCATCTCTCCCTAGAACACATATGTCTGGATAAAACGCATGCAGTTCCAGGTCTTTGTTGAGAAAATATATGTGAACTGTGTCCATAACAGACGTGTTGGTTCAGGCGTGGACCATCCAAAATTCTTTGCATAGACATTTAAACAGAATATGCCTAACAGCACAGCATTTAACAAATGGGGAACAATGTTCCTACCTAGTTTAGGTTTTATCTTGGGACTGCAGAGCAGATATAACTATTGATGAATAAATTGCGTGATGAAACATGTGGCAGATGAACACAGCTGACAAATGTCCTTCAGACATTTTTCCTTGGTCACTCATATCTAAGAATTGCTAATGATCTTTGTGCCCTATAATCATTCTACACCTTGATCATTCTGTCCTAATTTTTTCCACACGGATCAAATATTGTTTCAGTACTTCATTTCTGCCTAAAATGGTTTTGTTTTTTATATGAACTGATATATTTAGTCTCCTTTTTACAAACCTTTTAACCATTAATTTTATATTCAGAAAGCTGCTTCTCCTGCCAAAATCAACTTTCTATTATAAATATTGAAAGAAGGGAATACCTGTAGTTTCATATTTTTCTACAGTTAGTTTCTACCTATTTATATCTTTCATGAGACAAGAACACCTGAATCTGTATTTAAAGAAATAATGGAACTTTTAACCGTATTGTTTTTCTTTGAGCATGTCAGTAACATCTTTCTTGCTTCAGTAAGTTAACTGATTACTCAGCTTACTTGCATAATCATAGATGCAATGAAGGACAGTTTGCTTAACATTGGTTCCATTATTCATAGTTTTTCATTTCCTTCCACTATTATACCTCAATACTGCCTAAAGCAGGAGTTTTGAAACTTGGCAACTTTAAGACTTGTTGGCCGAGGAATTCTGGGAATTGACATCCACAAGTCTTGAAGTTGCCAAAGTTGGCCTAAACAGTTTGCCCATTGGAAAAAATGAGAAGGGACTCTGGCAGAAAGATAGCATTTCACTGTAACTTCTCTATATACCTACTTGCTGTGTTAAGTGCCAAATAAAATTCATTTCATATCCAAATGCTGAAAGAACCTCTTAATTTTTCTTTGGGCAAGCAACTGGATAACCATTTGGAAGCAAGGTGCATTAGTGTTGTCTGGTTTAAAATTCTTATTTGTTTGTTTGTTTGTCAAAAGTTACAATATAACAAACAAGAATAAACATAAGTTTAAATACAAGAAATAGGAACTAATAATTGGGGACAATAGGACAGGGACGGTAGGCACGATTGTGCGCTTATGCACACCCCTTACAGACCTCTTAGGAATGGGGTGAGGTCAATAGAGGTTAGTTTGAGGGTAAAAGAGTGGGGGGTTTGAGCAGGTGACAACAGAATCAGGTAGTGAGTTCCAGACATTGACCACTCTGTTGCTGAAATCATACTTCCTGCAATCGAGTTTGGAGTAATTTACATTTAGTTTATATCTGTTGTGCGCTCTTGTGTTGTTGTTGTTAAAGCTGAAATATTTGTTAACTGGTAAGATGTTATAACATATGATTTTATGTACTATGCTTAAGTCTAATCTTAGTCAGCTTAGTTCAAGGTTGTCTAAGCCTAGAATCTCAAGTCTGGTGGTGTAGGGTATCCTGTTGTGAACAGAGGAATGCAGTACTCTTCTGGTAAAATACTCCTGGACTCGCTCAATTGTATTTATGTACTTATGAAGCACCAAGAATAATCTGCACCAACATTTTCCCATTTTTGCCTGAAACAGGCATAAGAGTACTTCCAGGTTTGTTTTTAATTTTCATTTTAGAGAGAGCAAGAGATGTATTACAAGAAGCACAGGTCGATATTATTCCAATATCAACTTGCAATAGGCATGACTGGTATGCAGGGATGGTAAAAGACAATATGATTTGTGCTGGCTCTGAAAAAGGAGGAATTGATGGTTGTCAGGTAAAAGAGAATTTCATTATTTACTTATTTGTTTATAAAATTTATCGGCTGCCCATCTTATCACACAGTAACTCTGGGCTGTTTAGAGCCATAACATAAAAATTACATAAATGAAAAACGTAAGTAAGCTAATACAAGCCAAATGCTACAGTCCAATTATAGATGGGGAGGGTGTGGGAGCAGAATATGGGGGGCGGGGATCTGTTGTTAAACTGTGGCCCACCTCCTCTGTGATGCTCCCTCGTTGGAGCCATAAGCTAACTGGCAGAGCCTGGTTTTAGGCTCTCAGGAGAAGTCAGGGAGATTTGAGCTGACCTTACTTGGGGTGGGGAGAGATGTTCCAGAGGGCAGGGGCAATGGTAGAGAAGGCCCTTCTGCATCCCACCAGCTGTAATACTTGGGCCGATGGGTGATCAAATATGCCATAAAGTAAGACCTGTAAAAATGATGTTATCAGAATATTTAAACTTCCAGCCAGGTGTGAAGCTAAGAAGGTTCAAGGCTGCCTCTCTTATTAGCTTCTTGGCCGCTACTATTGGAAGACTGGACTTTCAGGAGTCCTGCAGTGGAGTTCCCATGATCAGATGTTGAGAGAGTGAGGGGAACGTGTACATTTTGCTGTATAACCAAGGCAAGAATACCCCATTTCCAGGAGAGGGTATCTTACAGAAAACCTTTTTCTTCCTGACCAATCATGGAAGGTGTAACTTACAATTTCTTTGCTGAGAACACACAGTGAGCCCTAATAGCCCTAAGCTCAGCTTAGCATATGAATCCAGCTAATATTTATACATTCGTGGATTGCACTATATCAGCCAATTACGATTTAACAATCTGGTTAAGCAAAGGATGCTTCGTGGGTTAAGTAAATGTGTTGACTAATAATAATGTTTTCCTCTAACATCTGAGAATTCCCTCCATTGATATTTTCTCCTTGGTGTCTTATGTTCCAGGGAGACAGCGGTGGTCCTCTTGCGTGCTATATTTCAGATCTCACCAGGTACTACCTGGTAGGGATCAGCAGTTTCGGTTACGGTTGTGGCCGGCCAAGGTTGCCAGGAGTCTATCTGCAAACAGGTTTTTATAGAAGGTGGATACAGACTAAAGTTATCTTATTTGACAAAGCCATGACTAGGAAGGCTCCATATCTTTTCTTTCTGCCTGCAGGATGGATAGTTTTCTGCAGTGTTTTATGAAAAAAATATCTCCTTTTGGATTGGGATATCTTGGCTTTCCAACTTGTTTCCATGTGTAGCAATATCTATTACTTTTAATTATCTAATAGATGTAATAAAAGTATTGCCCATTCAGTGCAATTTATTATGTTTTAACTTTAGACCTGATACTTCATCACTGACAACTGTAGCTTGGAGAAAAAATACTTTTTGAAGTGTTTTTCCCCTCTAATACCTAACATCGGATTTAACATTATAAAATGTGATCTTAACAATTATTAGCTCTGCTTCTTCCCTTATGGTAAACTAAACACGTATTTTTAATCTGAAATACAGATTTTTGAAAAAACTTCCTGCTTACCTTCCTCCCTGTCTGAGTACCTTAATCCCATGGCCAGATTGCTGGTGGAGTTCCCTAGGCTTGGGTCAGGGGGGCATATAGAATAGAATAGAATAGAATAGAATAGAATAGAATAGAATAGAATAGAATAGAATAGAATAGAACAGAATCATTATTGGCCAAGTGTGATTGGCCACACAAGGAATTTGTCTTGGTGCAAATGCTCTCGGTGTACATAAAAGAAAAGAGACATTCGTCAAGAGTCAAGAATCATAAGGTACAACACTTAATGATAGTCATATGGTACAATAAGCAATCAAATCATACTAGGAAACAAATAAAACAATATAAATTGTAAAGATACAAGCAACACGGTTATAGTCATAAGAGGGAAGAGATAGGCACTAGGAAGTGTTATAATCTAGTAGTAGAGGAATAATAGTAATACAGTAAATAAGTTGACAGTGTTGTGGGAATTAGTTGTTCAGCAGAGTGATGGCATTCGGGAAAAAACTGTCCTTGTGTCTCGTTGTTCTGGTGTGCAGTGCCCTACAGTGTTGTTCTGAGGGTAAAAGTTGAAACAATTTATATCCAAGATGTGAGGCATCTGTAGATATTTTCACAGCCCTCTTTTTGACGCGTGCAGTATACTCCTCAATAGAGGACAGGTTGGTAGCAATTGCTTTTTCTGCAGTTCTAATTCTAATTATCCATCTGTCTTTGCCAAATGAGAATGTCTGTGTCTGTCCTGTTGGGTTGCAGAGCCAAACCAGACAGTTATAGAGGTGCAGATGACAGACTCAATAATTCCTCTGTAGAACTGAATCAGCAGCTCTTTGGACAGTTTGAGCTTTCTGAGTTGGATCAACCAGTAGGATCATCCCTGGTGAGATTCCAGCAATAATTAGCAAGCATGGCAGACTCCATTTCCCTTGCTATCTTTTCTCCATGCCTGCAATATCCTGGTGGAACACCCATGTTCATCACTCACTGCCCCAGAATTCTTTTTATTATTATTATAATCAAGTTTTTTATTTCAATCTACACATACACAATAATACATAAATAGTGTGGCATCAATATATCATACATTCTCCCTCGAGCCGCTCGGAGCATCCAGACTGTGGGATGTGCTTCTGAGTCCTCTTCTTTCAGGCTGAGCTTTAGACGAGGAAACGCTCCGCCCCTCCCACGTGGCATCGCGCAGCGTCTCCCCAGTCTTTTGCTCAGCCTCGAAGAATCAGGCTGCGTTTCAAAGAGCTCCTTGGCTGTTTCATTGAATCCTCCGTCCTAATAAGGTTTGCTTCCTTCCTCCTCCTGCGCAAAGGGTCAGGACTCAAGGGAAATTTCTTCCCTGTCCTCAGGGCGAAGTTGTGGGCTCGCAGCGCCTTCAGCGCGACGCCCCCCCCCACCCTTATCAGATCGTGTCGCTGCCTGCGCGTTGCCTGTGGCACGCGCTCCTCCGCTGGATTCCCCCCCACCCTAAACGCCAACCGGGAGGGCTATCGCCCCTAAGGCTTTAGGAGCGCCGAGCTGACCGGCCAAGCCTTCCTTTTCTTTCCGTCCCGAAGGCGCCCAGGCAGTTCAGCTCGCGGACGCCATTTTGGCTCCACCTCGTGGCCGGGCGCTGAAAGTTTCTTTTTATTTAATATTCAGCTGCGGTGAATTAAATCTCCAGGCCTAGGGTTAAAGCCTAGCTGCCCATCGAACTGCCTGGCTAGTCTTGGTTAGTGCTTGTTGGCCTCCCGCAGCCCTTTTCGGGGCGAAGTTGCAGCCTCCCCCCCCCTCCGGTTTTTTCTTCTGTTGTCTGGAGGCTGGCTGCCAGAGGCCTCTTATTCAACTCTAGGCCTCAGGCATTATTCGACTGATTCGGCACTGAGAGATATCCATCCAAGGAAATAACTATAATAGAATTTATATTTGATCCAAATACAAAAGGAATAATAACAAAAAAGAAATAATTTTTTTGGTACAGCAATTTTTCTCTTAAGATATTGGATATATCGGAGTACCTGTATATTCAGCTGATATAAAGAATATAAAAAGCACTACAGAAAGGAACAAAACAGGATTACATAGCTAAATATATATATATATATTTCTGTTATCTCCGTACAAGTAAAATTCCAAAAGGGGGAGCGGGCCAGCCTCATCCTCACCCGGCCTTATCCAGGCCTGATCTGGGCGAGCCAACCGCCCTTATTAATCTCTATTGTTCAATATGGCAGACGACAATTCCTCTAAACGTCCTTCATTGAAGGCCAAGGCAAAGTCCCACTATTTGCGCAAGCAGGACAAGGAACCTAAGGGCTCTAGAAAGGACAAGGAACCTTCCAAGGCCTCTCAACGTGACGCCTTAAGGCGCCACAAGGCGTTAGAAAAAGAGTTCGACAGGCGTTCAAGGGAGTCCCGCTCTGAACCGTCTCTACCTCCTCCTCCACCCCCTACCTCTATTCAACCTCTCCCCCCAGGCCTTTCTTCCCTACCTAGGCGCAGTTCGCCCCAGGGTCTCCCGACCCCCGGTCCTACGATGAGTCTGACACCCGAAGCCACTTTTACACCCACGGCTGCTGGTCTGCGCCAGGACGAACCTTCTACATCTGAGGTGCCACCTCACATCAGGGCTTGGATGGAATCAGCCATCCGCCAGAGTGTTATAGAGGAACTACAGCACATGTCCAGATCAGGCTTCTCTCCTCGAGTCTCCGAGCACGACTCCTTGTCTATCAGATCCCTTCCACAACCGGTCCCCCCGGTTGCTCAGGTACTCTCTCAGAGGGACAGCCCTCCTCCGGTTGGGGCCCAGGTTGAGGAGGAAGGGGACTTTAGGGATTTCGAGGAGGAGGATTCCCAGATGGGATCCTCCCGCTACAGTGAACCTCCCTTAGAGACTGACATCATGGAGGGGGAGATGTCCGAGGACGAGGGCACTTCGACTGACCAACCCTCCTTTGGGGGGCTCTTCAAACCACACATGTTCAAGTCCCTCCTTCTTAAGGCCAAGAATGTCTCGGGCCTTCTTTCCCAGGCCCCTGCTGACCTCCCCCCCATCCCAGAGGGCCCAGAAGATTCCATTTTCACCCAACCAGTGGTTGAAGCTGAGGTCATCCCTTCCCCCCCCATATTCGTAGATCTGGTAGCGAAGCAACTATCCTCCACAGGGACCCCTCCCACACCCTCTAGCCAAGACAAGAGGTTCTTTAATCTCGATTCGGCACTGTCCAGCCTCCTGAACATTCCAGAGGTCGATGACCCTATTGTGGGTCTAGCTTCCTCCTCTACACCTAGTGAGGCCCTAGAGGCCTTGAAACCTGAGGATAAGCGGGTGGAGCTGGCCCTGCGCAGGGCCCACCTATCCGACGCCTGGGCCATTAAGTCAGCTACCGCCGCCTCTTTTTTCACTAGGTCCTCTATCCGCTGGCTACGTCAGCTCAGGGAACACGTCCCTGCTTCCAACCTGAGGGCGCACCAGGACATTGCGAAGCTAGTGGCTGCAGCCGAGTTCTCGGCTGACGCCACTTACCAGTCGGTGAAATTCTCTTCCAGGGCCATCACGTCCCACGTCACGGCTCGCCGCCTGCTATGGCTCAAACACTGGCAGGCGGACGTAAAGAATAAGATCAAGCTGGCCACTGCCCCTATTACAGGAGACAAACTGTTTGGCCCGGCCCTTGAACCCCTGCTGGTCGAGGGTCGCAGCAAGAGGAAGTACTTGCCTTCCCTTCTTCGAAGATCGGAGACCAGGGGCTCTCAGCCCTTTCGGAGGAGCTTTCCCCGCCCTTTCTACCAACCCCCCTTCCCGCCCAGATTCCCCCGACCCCCTTCCTTCCGATCCCAGGATCGCACGGACTCAGGCGACAGGACCAGGCGAGGGGGTGGTTATAAGAGACCCTTTCGGGGTACGGGAGGAAGGCCCTACCGCAGAAGGTAGAGCCTCCTTCTCCCTCCCCATTGGTGGCCGCCTCCGCCACTTCGCCGCCCAATGGGACAAATCCACTTCCGATGCATGGGTTAGAGACACAATAAGGTTTGGTCTCGCCCTCGAGTTCAAATCCACTCCCCCTGATCGTTTCTTCCCATCCCCCTCCTCAGGGGATCCCACCAAACGTGCATTAATGGAGGCAGCCATCCATCACCTGCTTGATATTCAGGCCATTCAACCTGTCCCTCCGGCTCAGAGAGGAAAGGGATTTTACTCCCATCTCTTTGTCGTGCCCAAACATTCTGGGGGCTGGAGAGCCATCCTAGACCTGAAACGGCTCAACCGTCACCTTATCCAGCGCAAATTCAAAATGCACACCTTGCAATCCATTCTCCTAGGCACCAGGCGGGGAGACTGGCTGTCCTCCATAGATCTCTCTGAGGCATACCTTCATATTCCTATCAGGCCCTCTCATCACAAATTCCTTAGGTTCTGTTATAATGGCCTTCACTATCAATACGTGGCCCTACCCTTTGGGCTGGCCTCGGCCCCCAGGACCTTCACCAAGGTCCTGGCGGCCCTGGCGGCCCACCTCAGGAGCATTCCTGTCCGCCTCCACTGCTACTTGGACGATATCCTTATCCTGTCCCCGTCCAAGTCCCAGGCAGTCAGGGATACCAGGGTCACCCTTTCCGCCCTACGGGCACACGGGTTTCTAGTCAATTGGCAAAAGAGCCAACTTACCCCTTCCACCCGAAT